TGTGTACTTCGATATGCCGGGCGGGCAAACAGTAGTTCCACTCAACAACCGAGTGTACATCCCCATAGATTATCGAGATGATAGAATCACTGGGGCCTCTAGCACCCGATCACATACTATATACACTATCAACACTCCCATACTGTACAACATGGATGTGTACACATGGGTCAATACAGTAGTCACACTACATAGCAGCACTTCTATAGTACATGTACCTCAATATGGCGCACCCGTGTGTATACATTGGGGTGTTGTACGCCGCAGGTATTGGCCCCAAAGCTCACAATGCCCAGGAGCAGACTGTTGTCCTCTTGGTCTACCAAAGGGCCGCCAGAGTCCCCTGATATATAGTTGTGGATGTGATAGTATGTATGTGTGTGTGTATATACTTCTTATGTAGATACACAGATATGTGTGCTTTGTCAAAATCGAACAGTGTTTATATTTAAGCGCAAGGAGCATAGTATCATGCATACATACATACATACATACATACATACACACATACATACACACATAGCTACAATGTAGGAGGCTGTTGTTTTGAAAATATGTATGTGAGCTGATTTGCCCCATAGTAAGCAAAACTGTCGGTGGCTTCCCGTATAGAGAGAGGTGCAAGCCAATACAATACCCTCTGGACTAGGGTTTAGGGTTCAGGGTTTGGGGGTTTAAGATTTTAGGGTCTAATACCGCATCTCACCACAGTGTGGTAGTATGTGAGTGGATGGACATAAACGTTTGGATTGGTCCGAAGGGACAATATACTCAGTCACTTCACACATATATGAATGTACGTTCCTATAAATACTGCACATGGTGACCACCTATATTTCCACCTACATGCCTGTTGCAGCACGTACCTTGACAGGCGGACTCTCCATCAGCTGTACGCAGAGATTCGGAAGAGAGTTGGCCAGAGACGAGTATAAAATATAAATGGAAGGGTTGGTAACTTAGTATACCTCATTGTGGAGTGTGACTGGTAGTAGGGTATGGATCAAAGGTGAGATAGCCGTAGAATTGGAGCGGGCGTATGATCTCCATTGGAGTGGCTTCAAATTGCTACAACAGTTCAATCGGATCGAGGTACAACCACTCTTAACGACACATATTTCTGATTGGCGCGTGAGTACAAATACAATGCACCGTGAACGAGGGTGTGCCAAAGAAACAGAACTTCTGTTAAACGTTGCATGGACGCAGCTTCGAGTATATGGTATCAGTACTGCTGTGCATAAAGTGCAATGTGATACGTGCGTACATATGCACTTGTACGTCTACTGAGTATATCTATCCAGGATACAAACCGTGACCTCTAACCTCTATGTTAAAGGAGAACGCCTACTAGGTATATCTATCAAGGACATTAACCGTTAACTTTAAACTCGTCACCTTGTCCTCCGAAAGATTGCTCACAGCCGAGTACGGTATGTCATCAAATGCGTACTGTATATGTCTACCCTAGCCAAGATATAAACTTCAAACCCTAACCCCTGAAAACTCATACATACCCTAGATTAAAACAGAGGCAGACTCAGACACCATACCATCAGCGAGGGTGCACACAGCCGAGTACGGCATGGGGTCTGGTAAAGGGCTTTTCCATACCGAGCACTCTTCCTGAGTTATAATGGTCTCTTTGACTATCCTTAAGGCACCGTCCACATTGCCTAAAAATATATTAGAGTAGTACGTAATGAGAAGAAAAACGTACGTGTAACGGCTACATAAACGTACTGACAGGTATGATACAGCTGAACCTGCATATCCGTACCTCGCCATCTATCTGGCCTGGGACGAGTGGTGAGTAGTTTGTAAACGGTATAAGCGTTTGTTTGTACTTCCTGAGACCGTAGTATAGCCCGACCTCTATCTGGTATTTCCCCCCCCCCCCCCCTCCCCACCCCGCACATACAAGCTTACACAGATGAAAAGTTTCCCGATCAAAACTCACTGCGCGAGTGAGCTATTTAATCAGGCTTCGAATAGCAATATCTGGACCGGAAACATAGGTATGACTTTGAACAACCCCTATGCGTTGCTGAAGGCTCGACTTCAGTTTATAATTATTCTCTGTCACACACCCCCACGCACAAGTACATACTTGATAAAAGTATTAATTTTAGATTCAGACCACACTGCACTACCCACTAACCTTCCTGGTTGACTCCAAATCCCATAACACGGACCGGCTGTTTGGGGTTGTCCCTTTTCGTGATACCGTTGAGAGTGGCAGGTGTGATGCTTGTGCGGCCGTCCAGACGGACCAGCGCAGCATCGTAGCCAATTGTACGAGCGTCCCATTTTGGGTGTGTCATGTATCTAAAAATAGAACAAGGTAGGAGATAAATAGACTGAGTGTTTGAGTCAACTGTACGAGCGTCCCATTTTGGATGTGTCATGTATCTAAAAATAGAGCAAGGTAGGTGATAAATAGACTGAGTGTATATGAGTCAATTGTTCGAGCGTCCCATTTTGGGTGTGCCATGTATCTGAATATAGAGCAGGGTAGGTGATAAATAGACTGAGTGCATATGAGTCAATTGTACGAGCATTCCATTTTGGGTGTGCCATGTATCTAAAAATAGAGCAAGGTAGGTAATAAATAGACTGAGCGTATATGAGCTTTTTACGAGCATCCCGTAGAAATATGTGTTCGTATGAGTGTGAGTTGAATTTCACGGATACATGTGTATTTACACACGACTGAGTGCACACTAACTCTGACAGCACAGGCATCCACAGACTATATCATTGACGTCTGATCACTAACTACTACAAAAGCCCCTACATACTATATGAAACAGAGGCGGTGTACGTATTTACATACATACACATGTCCGCTATACGCACACACGTGTACATACACACAAAATACTATATAAAACACAGGCGGTGTCCGTACATACATACACATGTTCGCTACACACACACACACGTGTACATACACACAAAATACTATATAAAACACAGGCAGTGCACGTTCATACATAGACAATGTTCCCAACACACACACATACGTGTATATAAAAAATACCATATAAAACACAGATGGGGAACGTACATACATACACATGTTCGCTACACGCACACGTGTATATACACACAAAAAGGGCCGGTCCTGGGCTTTTATCCCCCAAACAACTCTCACATACTCTGCGACGCCATAGCACTCGAACTCGTAGAGCTTAGATAAGTCACTACCACCAATACAGACTTGATTGAAGGCCTCTGTAGGTGCATGAGTGGATGAGTGTTCGTATCAAAGACAATTTGTAAGTATTAATACATTGAATTAGAGAGAAAAGCTGCACGTATCTGTGGGGCAAGATGAAAGGAGACGGCGAGACGGCGCTGAGAGTGTGTGACGTTCATAGGCCATGCATGTGCAGTTTTCGCTTAGAAATGCGCTCAGAAGTGTCAGACTCAGTTGACACGGACCCACCAATAGCATACAGACATGGAAATAGTACTTCCACGCTGTTTACTGTACACGAATACGAGCATATACATCTGCACATACATATACATACAGATATACATGTACATACATATAT